ACCAGGTCACAGTCGGTAGTCTGCGGGCAGCGGGAGGGAGGCGATCAGCGGCGGGAGGAGAATGGGGACGGGCCGTCCGAGTGGGGCAATGCCTCCGTCGCAGCCGCGGAGCCGCAGCAGCCTCAGCCGCCCCCCGGCAAGCTGAAGAAAACGGCTTTCAAACTGTTCGGAGGGAAGAGGAGCATCTGTACGCTGCCCAGTTTCTTTGGAGGCAGAAACAAAGGCCAGGGGAAAGTAGCCTCCAAAAAGGGCCTCAGTAAATGTAAGACCCACGACGGGCTCAGCGGTGCTGCATATGACAAGGGTGGTGGGGTGCAGCTGGAAAGCCCTTCGGAGGGGAGCAGGGACTCGCATCCTTGCCCTCTGCCGAGCTCCCAAAGCGCTCACTTGGCCGTAGACGCCGGCGCCAAGTTTGATTTTGGCCAGCAGGACAGCTCTCCGCCCGGGAGTATCGAGGGCTGTGAGAAAAAGCCCAACGGAGAGAAGTCCTCCTTCCCCAGACCCAAAAAAGGCCTGAAAGGGTTTTTTAACAGCATCCGGCGTCACCGGAAGAGCAAGGTTGCCGAGTGTGAGAAAGCAGAGCTCCCCGAGTGGACCCGGCATTCGGAGGAGGCCGGCAAAGCTCCTGGTGTGGGAGCGGAGAGCCGAGGGGCCGCGGAGGGAAGGGGGCCGGGACCTGTCCCTCTTGCCGCGGCCTGCCCGGGGGGCTCGGAGGATGACCGCTCGGTAGGCGCGGCTGCCAGCTGTGGTGGGGCTGCCGAGCCCGGCCGCCAGGCGGCTGATGAAGGCAGCTCTGAGGGCAACGCGGTGGCGATGCCGGGGAAGAGGGACGTTCCGGATACGAAATCAGAGGCTGACGCTGCTGTTTGCGCAGAGTTTGACTACGGCAATCTCCTGCTGGCCTTTCATCCGGACTTCATGGACAACGACCCTCCCTGCCTACACTCTGGGGACCTGCTAAGCCTCATCTTAGGAGACGTCACATCCCTGAAGAGCTTCGATTCCCTGACGGGGTGCGGGGACGACATTGCTGAGCCTGACATCGCTGAGAGCACCATCTCTGTGGAGCGCAGCAGAGATGCTGCTAAACGGAGCTCCTGCCTGGTCACCTACCAGGGCGGTGGGGAGGAGATGGCCATACCTGAGGAGGCGGAGGAGTACCTCCACCAGATATGGAACAGCGGCACGGCAGGGGACAGGAGCTACGGAGCCCAGGTGGTGTCGAGTAGCAGTTTGGAGACGCACGCCTCGCAGGAGGCGGAAGCCCATCCCTACGTGGGGGACGCGATGGACGGCGTTGACCTCCTGACGCCACAGAGTGACCAGCAAGAGTCCGCCCCTAATAGCGATGAGGGTTATTACGACTCCACCACGCCGGGGCCGGAGGATGAAGCCGGAGATGGGCTCGGTGAGATCAAGAAGGACCGTCTTCCCAGAGACAGTTATAGCGGTGATGCACTTTATGAGTTTTATGAGCCTGATGACACGCTGATGAGTCCCTCTCACGGGGAGGAATCCCTGTTTGAGAGCAAAGTCTCACGCCCGGGGATCTTCAGCTACTTCTTGGACATCTGCCCCCCTGCTGAGAAGAGCCTGAACCAGATGCTGGATCAGAAAAGAGGGGTGATGGAAACGGAGGAAGAGACGGAGGAGGAGCGGCTAGCGGCCATTCAGAAAGAGCTGCTGTACTGGGAGCTGCAGAGGGAACCGGTCTTGAAACGACTTGATGTTCCCAGCAAGGAGAAGTGTCCCCGGGAAAAGCAGTGCGTTGAATGTAAAACTAGAGCAGCCAGCTCGATTGGCAAGAATCAGAGTGGCCTTGGTAGCGAGCAGGTGGCCTCGCACGCCCCAAACAGGGGTGTGAATAGTGGGGTTTCGGTGGCTAGAGCTGAAAATCCAGAGTGGAGGGATTTTCCAGGGACCCTGTGTCCAGAAAACTGTTACAACAGCCAAAAAGCCCAAGGAAGTTGCCTTATTCAGCTCACGAAGAACAACCCGGGGTTCGATTCGGACCCGGACTGTGGGTTGTTTGGGGGCTCCATCCACGGCAGCGTAGCCCCAGCCAAAGCAGGGATGTTCCCCGCCTACAGACTCCCAGAGCACGAGCGTGGCAGCGGAGCGGAGACCACCACCGGCAAGCCCCAGCTGGGCAGCGAACACGAGCCCGAGCATGCCGTGAGCTTCTCGCAAGCGCTGGTGGAATTCGCCAGCAGCGGCACCCTCTTCTCCAGCCTCTCCGAAAGTCTGGGGAGCTCCAACTCCGGCTCTTCCTTCACCCAGAACCTCCCTGCCCTCCCCACCATGGTCACCTTCGACGTCGTCGACGTGGAGCAGGAAGGAGAAGGGGAGTGCGAGCAGCATCCCGAGATGAACGCCGGCGAGGACATTGCTGAGGCCTTTGACGATGGCTACGGACGGAAAGAGTCGTTGGCCGAATGTGACGAGAGAATGTCCCCGGGGTACCCCCCGGGCTCTTTCCAGAGCTGCAACTGGGGTGTTGCCAGCCTGCCCCGCCACCTGCGCCTCCACGGGCTGAGCCCCTCCATGCCAGCACCGCTCTCCGTCAACCGGAGGAGCCGGTCACTTGACACGGAGAGCCTGGAGTTTGAGCTTGCTGACTCGCAGGTTGCCAAGAGCGGCCCTCAGCCGTGCCGGCTCTGGTCGAAGCGGGAGGGTGGCAAAAAGGACTCGGGCGGAGCGAGGAGGAGCAGGAGCAAGGAGGAGGGTGAGCTGGCGGCTCCTGACGGCGGGTTGAGCTGGCCGGGCTTGCAGCACCTCCGGCACGACACCGACGCGGCTGGGGGGGGGATGAAGCACTGGGGTTTCGCTCCGGCCGCCGCGATGCAGAGTGCCTGGGAGCCGTCGGAGCAGCCGGGCACCGTGGCCCCTTTCCTGTCTCTTTCCCGGAGCATCGCCGGAGAGACTCCGGACAGGCGGCCCCAAGAGCCGGAGCTGAACAGGCACCCGCTCAGGCCCTCCAATTTACCTCTGCAGACCGACGCGAGGCGGTCCCGGGAGGCGGCTGGTTCCTACAGGTACCACGGAGAAGTCACCGCCAAAAAGCTGGCCCGCTTGTTACCCGTGGGAGAAACGGAGCCCGAGCTGCCCCCGAGCTTTAGTTTCGCTTGCTCCCTGGAGAAACGCGCCAAGTGCAAACCCGTCGGCATCGCCCAGGGCGTGCCTCAGCATCCCAGCGACAGCACCGACAGCGTAAAAAGCCCGGAGCGCTGCGGAGAGCCCCTGAAAGGCAGAGCCAGCCCCGGCCACGCGCTGCCCGCCGGCTGCCGGAGCACCGCAGTGAATGTCACCGAAGCCGAATAGCTGCTCTGGGGAGGGTGTGAAAAGGGTTGCGAAGTGCAGGGAGGGAGAAAATAAACGTTAACGAGCAATTTGTGAGTGACTTTAATTTAGACCTGGGCTGATAAGGATGAGCTCCTCTCCCGCTGCTGTGGTACGTGGTCTCGCCGCTGCGGATGCTCCGGCGGGGGTCGGAGCCCCCTCTGGGATTCGTACGTTAACGCTGAGGCACTTTCTTGTTTTCCAGCGCGAGCCGCCACGCTCTCGAACGCCAAGTGCAGTAGCAGCCCCCGGCACGCGCTCACGTGGCTGCTAGAATAAAAGCTGGGAACGGACCTATTGCTAGCATGGCAGGTTTGGGGTTTTTCTGCAGGACTGGAGCTGGGGGAGCAAGCCTTGGGGAAACTTTTGAGAGAAATCGGGTTTTTTCTTCCTCTTGTCGGTGAAATGTTTTGGTTCAGACTCACTTTGAATGTCTTCCATCTCGGTCTCGATTTGGGGAGGCTGGGAGGAAGGACGCCGGTTATTTCCAGAGCGAGAACGGGAGGCGAGTCAGCTGAAAGGGGAACTTTGCAGTAACATTTTTATTTATTGGTTTGTTTTTTCCCTTGCCCCAAAGGAAAGCAGGAGCTTTTGTGTGCGTGCCGATAAGGTTTTCCAGGTCTAGTTTTCATTTGCTCAAAGATACCGCGCTCGGAGAGATGTGCTGTCGATGGTGTCCCTTTTAAGAACAAAGTGTCGGTCCCTTCTTTGTCGTGGTCTGTCTTCACGGTGCGTAATTCCCGGTTGAAACCTTTCCCGTGCTTTGTCCCACGCTCCTTGCCTCTCCCGGGCCATGGGCACAGGGATGAGGTCTTCGAAATAAGCTAAATTTGCATCGTGCCTGTAGCTGCGAAGTTGCAGATGGTGTTACTTTCTTCAAAAGGAAGTTTTGTGGGTTGTCTTTTTTATTTTTTTTAAATTATTTTACGTTTGTTTTCTTTGCATAAGCTCATACGAGGGAAGTATTCTGTTAATTGGAATACAGGATGTAACGCAGCCTAAATTAGGCTTCACAACTTCTTCCTCATAACTGGAGGGAACAAAAAAGCTGGAGGTAGCTGCAGGTTTTGGATTTCTTCTTCCTCTTTGCAGGAGCGTGGAGGAGGGACGCGAGCTAAGGAGACAGACTTTGTCTGAGGAGGTCGTACAAGCTCCTGGAAACATCTCTTTCAGGCCGTTGGTCCTCGAGGCGTCTCCCATGTCCTCCGTGATCTCAAACACGCTTGTCTCTAAACCAAACCTCCCTGTCCGTGACTTCCAAAACTTCTTCCTCCTTCTGTCCAAGCTCTGTATTCCGATTCAGTTACCGAGGATGATTTTTGTTTCCCTCCCTGCCCCGAGTTGCCCCTTTTCTGCTTTTCTTTGCAGCGGAGTTTGTAGCATTAAAAAAAATAATCACGAACTGGAAATACCAGAGTGTTCTCCCATCTGCGGAGCAAAGTGCGGGGCGAGGGGCGGCTCTGCCCAGCCCTAACCCGCTTTTCCTGCCGACTCCTGCCCGTGGCGG